TTTTCTGTGCAATCTGGGACCCTGTAGCAGCCAGGTCTCGCCGTATTTATCGTGTACGTCCCCGAGCCCGAAGGGTGGCGGCTGCCTGGAACAAAGAGAAAGCTCCTTTCTGCCTTTTGTTTCTGCCACGGCTCTGCCAGCGCAACCCCGGACCTCAGCCACCTGGCTAAAGCCAAAAGACTCTGACGCCACACGTCCACCTCAGAAAGCTTGATTTTAGGGTGAAGGTGCCTGTGATTAACTTGATGTTAATGAAGCCAGAGGCCAGCGCTGCTTCCGCTGTTTTATCCCAGCTGGCATTCGCTGCTTCACAGGAGCGCAGTTCAAACCCTGGCAGGTTTTGTCTCAAAATAACACCCCCCCCTTTTTTTTTTAAGTATTTTTAATTTTTTGGGCCCTGCACTGCGTGTTACAGAGCAACAGCAACACTACGTGTTAGGGCTTGTGACACCAGCCTGCTCCGGAGCTGCCAGTAGCTCCTGTCTAGGAGAAGTGAGCGGCTTGAATCCTGGTGGGAAAGCTCCATGAGTATTATTAGCTGGTGATTTATTATTTTTTTTTTTCTTAATTCAGACACTGCCTGTATTACTGTTGGACTTCACAAGAAGCAGAAGACTCAGCACAACATTTTTGGCAAAGGGCTGTTTGGAGTAATTACTGCTTTGAGCAAAAGCTTATGGGACAGCTCAAGAGCAGCCCTCATTTTGTCAGGCTTCTAATTGCAGACCTCGAGTTTCTTACCAGGCGTGTGAGGAAGAGCAGGCATGGAGCTGGAAAGTGTTAAATTAATGCTGGATTTAGCAAAGATGTTTTCACACCTCTCTGGGCTGGCTCTGCTGGTGTTTCTCTTCCAAAAATGAGTGGCCTGGCATGATGTTCTGCTGCGTAGAAATACAGGGTCCTCTGTTCCTGAGACCACAAGTTCGTTAATGTGAGATACTGTGGAATTAACATGATGAGTCCGTTCTCTGGCCGTACGTTTGAGGGTGGTTGGCTGATGGGAAGCCAGTGAGGGCAGGGAAGGCTGTTGGAAATCACCAGGGTGTAGTTACCCCACTCAGAACGATGCTGTTAATGCCTGTTGTGGTCCTGTGTTTTCTCTCTCTGCAGGCTCCATCCGTTTCCCCTCTCTCCAGGATGAGAGAGGTTTGGGTTCGGCTTTTCCCCTCTCCCGGTAGTTGATAGTTTCGGAACCAGAGGTGATGCTGGAGTCGAGATGGCAGACAGCGTGAAAACCTTCCTTCATGACCTCGTCAGGGTAAGTCACTGCCTTTCAGGTCCCTTTATCGCAGGGACTCGTCTCGTTTGCTTTACTGATGGTTGTTCTTCCTCAGGGAGTACCATCCTTCCTACGTCATCAAGGGGGGATTAAAAATTTTGAAGGAAAAGGGGCTCTTGAAGATCTGTGGTCACAATCTAAAGTGAGAGGACTTCACATGAGTCACCTGGGTAGTGACGCTGTCCTGGCTCACGCTGGCTTCCTTGGGGTCTTTTTTTTGAAGTGAAATTTTGATAAGGGTGGCTGTGGTGTCCTCTGGAGGTGGAAATAGCTGCCCGTGGAGTTCCCAGCCTTTTAAATGAGTAAGGCAAAGACTTCTGGGGTCTTCGCTATTACCAGGTTCACAGGGATGTGGTTGATGTTTCTGGGACAAGGACAGGTGCTTTTATTTGTAAGGAAATAAGCGTCAAGTTCTTACAGCTGGGCTGCAAGGACTTTGCACATCCTAAATATTTTGTATAATTCTATGTTATTTGCCTTAGAAATGCTGGCAAAGGGTGAGGGGCTTTCTGCCAGGCAGAAGAAACGTGCTGTGAGAGATCTGACTCTTTGGCTTGTGCCAGGATTATAAATAGCAGAGATTGGATGAGAAATCACACCTTTAAAAAAAATAATATAGTGCTGTTCCTAAAGATGTTGGAACGTGTGGTAATTTAGGTCACTGGGCCATGGAAAATAGTCAGTGTAGCCGCTCCAAACCTTGGCTCCAGCTGCACCTGGCTTCCCTGGTTGGCCGAGGAGTGGGCCTGGCCCTGTCCAAGTCCCTTTCCGTAGCTGGGAGGTTTTCCATGGCCTGGGTCAGCCACATCCCGTTCTCCCTCTCCCTGCGGGGTGGAGTGTGACACACTCCTCGTGTCCGCAGGGAATTAAGGACTCCATCTGGGGCATCTGCACCATCTCGAAGCTGGACGCCCGCATCCAGCAGAAAAGGGAAGAGCAGAAGCGAAGGCGAGCAAACAGCGCGCTGGCCCAGCGGAGGTTCCACATGGAAGAGAAGAAGCAAGAGAAGTGAGTATGGGGCCGGACGGGTCATAAATGGGGTAACTCCCTCCTTTTATTCGTCTGTTGAAGGCAGAACTTGTGGTGTGCGTTTGCTAATGGTTCATAAACCCAACCGCGCTGAAGTGCAGAGCCAATAAATCAGAAAAACATGACACAAAATCACAGAATCACAAAATCTTAATGGTTGGAAGGGACCTCTGAGGTCATCGAGTCCAACCATACACACACAAAAAAGCCTCTACAATCTCAGGCACTGGAGCATGCCCTGAAGTGCCACATCTACACGTTTCTTCAATCCCTCCAGGGATGGTGACTCCACCACCTCCCTGGGCAGGCTGTTCCAGGGCCTGACCACCCTCTCAGGAAAGTCATTCTTCCCAATATCTCATCTAAACCTCCCCTGCCCCAACTTCAGACCATTTCCTCTGCTCCTGTCATTATTCCCTTGGGAGAAGAGGCCAACCCCCACCTCTCCACAGCCTCCTTTCAGGGAGTTGTAGAGGGCAATGAGGTCTCCCCTCAGCCTCCTCTTCTCCAAACTCAACATGCCCAGTTCCCTCAGCCTCTCCTCGTAGGACTTGTTCTCCAGACCCCTCACCAGCTCTCCTGGTGGCTCTCCTCTGGACACGCTCCAGCACCTCAATGTCCTTCCTGTAGTGGGAGGCCCAGAACTGAACCCAGCCCTCGAGGTGAGGCCTCACCAGTGTACAGAGGCACCATCACTGCCCTGCTCCTGCTGGCCACACTGTTCCTGACACAGGCCAGGATGCCTTTGGCCTTCTTGGCCACCCGGGCACACTGCTGGCTCCTGTTCAGCCGTCTGTCCACCAACACCCCCAGGTCCTTTTCTGCTGGGCAGCTCCAGCCACTCTGCCCCCAGCCTGTAGCGCTGCAGGGGGTTGTTGTGACCGAAATGCAGGACCCAGCACTTAGTCTTGTGGAACCTCATCCCATTGGCCTTGGCCCATTGATCCAACCTGTCCAGGTCCCTCTATAGCGCCTTCTGACCCTCAAGCAGATCAACACTCCCACCTAGTTTGGTGTCATCTGCAAACTTACTGAGGGTACACTCAATCCCCTCATCAAGATCATCGATAAAGATACTATACAGGATCACACGGGGTTGGAAGGGACCTCTGGAGATCATCTAGTCCAACCCCCTGCCAGAGCAGGGCCACCCAGAGCAGGTTGCACAGGAATGTGTCCAGGCAGGTTTTGAATGTCTCCAGAGAAGGAGACTCCACCACCTCCCTAGGCAACCACTTCCAGGGCTCTGCCACTGTCACAGTAAAGAAGTTCCTTCTCATGTTTAGGTGGAACTTCTTATATTCAAGTTTGTGCCCATTTCTTCTTGTCCTGTCCCTGGGCACCACTGAAAAAAGACCGGCCCCATCCTCCTGACGCCCATCCTTTAAGTGCTTATAGGTGTTGATCAGATCCCCCCTCAGTCTTCTCTTCTCCAGACTAAAAAGACCCAAGTCCCTCAACCTCTCATAAGGGAGATGCTCCAGGCCCCTCATCATCTGGGCCCATGTGGACTGCTGTCCCCTCTCCAGCAGTTCCTTGTCCTTCTGGAACTGGGGAGCCCAGAACTGGACCCAGTGCTCCAGATGGGGTCTCCCCAGGGCAGAGTAGAGTTAGGGCAGGATGACCTCTCTTGACCTGCTGGTCGCACTCTTCTTGATGCCCCCCAGGATGCCATTGGCCTTCTTGGCCACAAGGGCACGTTGCTGGTTCATGGGCATCCTTTATTAAACAAGACTGGCCCCAAAACTGAGCCCTGAGGGACGCGCTGTGGGGGATGACATGCCCTTTTCCCACTCCATGCGATGGAACTGGAACTGTTTTCCTGAGATAAGAACTCAGACCTTTCATGTTGTGTGACGACTCAGAGCGTGCAGTCGGTTTGAAGTGATAATAGAAGGCGTGGAGCTCTGCAGGCTGGAGGAATGGATTTCTGGGTCTCTTTTCTTCCTCAGCTCTCATGCTGTCTCTCGGAGACAGGTCGCTGTTGGCAGCTGTGGGGTGAAGGAGGAAGCGGCAGCTCAGATCTGATTTACGCGTCTGGGGCAGATCAAGTATCATTTTTTTTTCCCCAGCCTTGTCGCGTTCTGCGTCCGCCGAGGCTGGAAATGCCAGAATTATATCCATGTGGGAGCAAAACAGCATCTGCTCTTGTGTCTGACTCCCAAACTGCGCTGAGGTGTTTCTCCACTGCCCTAATTATGGTGGGGCTGGCATTTCACGCAGGCAAAAAGACATTTTTAAGACATATTTACACGTTATTCTAAGTTGGCGGTAATCTGACTTTATCTCAAGATGATGGAAGACTCTCCCCGTGTCCCACAATCCTGATCTTCCCCAAAGGTTCCTGCAGAATTATGTATATTTTGGGGTGACTAAACAGTTGTATTTTGCTATTTTTATTTGTAACAAATCCCTTTGGTAACAGAAGGTGTCGGGAGAAGTTCTGCAGAGTCCTGCAGAGCTGCTCTTGCCCGTCCATAGACAGGCTGCAAAGAGAGAGAAGCCAGGACCACCCTGAGCAGAACAAAAAGCAGCCAAAAAGCCCTGATTTTATTGTGGCAAGAGTTTGAGGAGATCAAAGCCTGAGATCTCTAATAAAAACGTAGAACGTTGGAAGAAAGCTTTTCTTCCATTTCGGTGCAGATGTGGGGAATTAATAAAGGCTGGAAGAGTCTCCCTGGTGTGGATCCGTGCACTGGCTGACACCCAGGGTGAGCCTGCACGGGGATTTCCTCTGGCAATTCCCCTGGTCAGATAGAAGCAGCATCCAGCTGGTTCTCCATGACACTCCCAAAGTGTCCACGATGTGGGATGCGAGGCTGGAGAGGAACCTCATGAAGTTCAACGAGGGCAAGTGCAGGTCCTGCCCCTGGGGAGCATTGACACCATCTGCAGGTTAGGGATTGACCTAACCTCCCTTGAAGAGAGGGAGCTGGTGGACAAGTAGTTGCCCACAACCCAGCAACGTGCCCTTGTGGCCAAGGAGGCCAATGGTCTCCTGAGGGGCTCAAAAGAGTGTGGCTGCAGGTGGAGGGAGGTCATCTTCTCCCTCTTCTCTGCACTGGGGAGCCACATCTGGAGCACTGGGTCCAGTTCTCCAGTGAAGAAGGACAGGGAACTGGTGGAGAGGGGATAGCAGAGACTATGAAGATGATGAGGGACTGGAGCATCTCTCTGCTGAGGAAATTCCATCCGGGCATGAGGAGGAACTTCTTTGCTGTGAGGGTGGCAGAGCCCTGGCAGAGGCCGCCCAGAGAGGTGGTGGAGTCTCCTCCATCTCTGGAGACATTCAAACCCCACCTGGACATGGTCCTGTCCAACCTGCTCTGGTGATCTCCAGAGGTCCCTTCCCACCCCGGCCAGTCCATGAAGCAGTTTGTCACTTGTTGGGGGGACGTTTATCCAGGCACCGGGACCTGAACGCGTCTCGCCCCTCTCTCCCCGCAGCGAGCCCCGCATAGTGAGCCGGATATTTCAGTGCTGTGCCTGGAACGGAGGCGTCTTCTGGGTGAGTGGGTGCTTTTGGGTGGTTCTTCTGGTGAAATCCCCGTGGAAGCCCATGGGGGGTCGGCCGGCGCTCCCTGTCCCCCCATGCTGCATTTTAAGGAGATGGGACCAGTTGGGACACCTCCACACCTCCCCAGCTGCTTCTCCAGGTCTTTGAGACCACAAATATCCCCCCCCTCTTGCTCCGCTGCAGCCGGGGATGTTCCTTCCCCGAACCAAATATCGATATTTTAAAGCCATTTCCCCATCTCTGAGGTTTCCTCCTTAACCGCAGCCCAATTAATCACCCCTCCTCGTTTCTTTCTCCCCTCCAGCTTAGTCTCTTCTTGTTCTACCGCGTATTTATCCCCGTCCTGCAGTCGGTGACGGCACAGATCATCGGTAAGTCCCCGTCCCGGTGGTGGGGTGGAAGGAGGAGGTTCCCCACCCCGGTTCCTCATGCGTTCCTCCCCATCCCCTCTCCCCAAGGCGACCCTTCCTTGCACGGTGACGTCTGGGCTTGGCTGGAGTTCATCCTCACCTCCATCTTCAGCGCCCTCTGGGTCCTGCCCCTCTTCGTCCTCAGTAAGGTGGTCAACGCCATCTGGTTCCAGGTGGGTGACAGGGACACGGACCAGGGGGGATCCCCTCCTTGGGGTGGCACAGCAGGGTGGGGGCTTTTCGGCGGCGGATGAAATCCCACCTAAAAACGCAGGCTCTGGGTGAGCAAAACCAGCTCATCCCACCTCTTTGGGACTTCATTTCCCTGGAGCGCCCGTTTTGCTTTTCAATTTCATTTCCCTCGAGCCATTTTTTCTTTATTTTGGGGTTTTTTGGGTTTTTTCCCCCTGGCAGGACATCGCGGATCTGGCGTTCGAGGTGTCGGGCAGGAAACCTCACCCCTTCCCCAGCGTCAGCAAGATCATCGCTGACATGTTATTCAACCTCCTGCTGCAGGCCCTTTTCCTCATCCAGGTGGGACGAACAAACTCCCCTCCCTCCGGGGCCGCGTTTTCCCCCAAATCCAGAGAATCCACAACTAATCGTTTTCTTTAATTTCTATTTCATTAAAATCCCAGGGGATGATCGTGAGCCTCTTCCCCATTGACCTGGTGGGCCAGCTGGTCAGCCTCCTCCACATGTCCCTGCTCTACTCCCTCTACTGCTTCGAGTACCGCTGGTTTAACAAAGGTGAGGCCTTTTTTGAGGGGAATTCCTCCGGATTTGGGATCCGAGGCTCAATTTTCTTTTGATTTTAACTGGAATGAAGTTTTTTGGGTTTTTTTTTTTGTGATCTCCAGGCATCGAGATGCACCAACGGTTGTCCAACATCGAGAGGAACTGGCCCTACTACTTCGGCTTCGGCTTGCCGCTGGCTTTCCTCACGGCGATGCAGTCCTCTTACATCATCAGGTGAGGCTGTTTCCTCCCTTTTTATTATTTTTTTATTGTTTTTTTTTTTTAAATAAATAATATTATTATTATTATTATTATTTTTCCCCTCTTCCAGCGGTTGCCTCTTCTCCATCCTTTTCCCTCTCTTCATCATCAGCGCCAACGAAGCCAGGACCCCCAGCAAAACCTAGTGAGTTCCCTGCCTCCGCCGGGAGGTACCCTAAACCCGCAGAAATCACCCCAAAAATCACCCGCCGCCTCCCGAAAATTCCCAACTCCGGGAGCTGACGGGCCCTCTCTTCCCTTACAGCCACTTCCAGCTCCGGCTCTTCTCCCTGGTGGTTTTCCTCAGCAACAGACTCTTTCACAAGACCGTTTACCTTCAGTCCGCCCTCGGGGGGGCTTCCTCATCCTCATCCTCCTCCTCCTCCGACCGGCTCCTCTCCCCGCAGCCCTCTCCGGCCAAACACGCGGCTTCTCCGGGCCACTGAGCGCCCCCCCTGCCCACCCGCCGCCGCCGCCGCGGGAGGAGACGCGTGGGACCCCGGTGCCGGTTCTGCCCCTCCCCTCGCTGCCACGGAAAAAAAAAACACGGGAAGGGTTTTTTGGGGAAAAGAAAAAAAATATGGATTTTTAACACCTCGCGCCCTGCCCTGGTTTTATAGCGGACTCTTTTTGTACCCGTGCCATCCGGTCCCCCTGCATGTCCCGGCCCGGTGGGCTCGCTCGGGGAGGGAACCGGCGGGGGGGGTGGTCCCCCCCCCCGGGGGGGCAGCTTCTACCTGAGCATACTGCACACTGTTCAATCACTTCCCTAGTCCTACTCACCACACTGTTCCTGATACAGGCCAAGATGATGTTGGCCTTCTTGGCCACCTGGACACCCTGCTAGCTCAAAGTCAGCCGACTGTCAACCAACACCCCCAGGTCCTTTTCTGCTGGGCAGCTCCAGCCACTCTGCCCCCAGCCTGTAGCGCTGCAGGGGGTTGTTGTGACCGAAATGCAGGACCCAGCACTTAGTCTTGTGGAACCTCATCCCATTGGCCTTGGCCCATTGATCCAACCTGTCCAGGTCCCTCTATAGCGCCTTCTGACCCTCAAGCAGATCAACACTCCCACCTAGTTTGGTGTCATCTGCAAACTTACTGAGGGTACACTCAATCCCCTCATCAAGATCATCGATAAAGATACTATACAGGATCACACAGGGTTGGAAGGGACCTCTGGAGATCATCTAGTCCAACCCCCTGCCAGAGCAGGTCCACCCAGAGCAGGTTGCACAGGAATGTGTCCAGGCAGGTTTTGAATGTCTCCAGAGAAGGAGACTCCACCACCTCCCTAGGCAACCTCTTCCAGGGCTCTGCCACTGTCACAGTAAAGAAGTTCCTTCTCATGTTTAGGTGGAACTTCTTATATTCAAGTTTGTGCCCATTTCTTCTTGTCCTGTCCCTGGGCACCACTGAAAAAAGACCGGCCCCATCCTCCTGACGCCCATCCTTTAAGTGCTTATAGGTGTTGATCAGATCCCCCCTCAGTCTTCTCTTCTCCAGACTAAAAAGACCCAAGTCCCTCAACCTCTCATAAGGGAGATGCTCCAGGCCCCTCATCATCTGGGCCCATGTGGACTGCTGTCCCCTCTCCAGCAGTTCCTTGTCCTTCTGGAACTGGGGAGCCCAGAACTGGACCCAGTGCTCCAGATGGGGTCTCCCCAGGGCAGAGTAGAGTTAGGGCAGGATGACCTCTCTTGACCTGCTGGTCGCACTCTTCTTGATGCCCCCCAGGATGCCATTGGCCTTCTTGGCCACAAGGGCACGTTGCTGGTTCATGGGCATCCTTTATTAAACAAGACTGGCCCCAAAACTGAGCCCTGAGGGACGCGCTGTGGGGGATGACATGCCCTTTTCCCACTCCATGCGATGGAACTGGAACTGTTTTCCTGAGATAAGAACTCAGACCTTTCATGTTGTGTGACGACTCAGAGCGTGCAGTCGGTTTGAAGTGATAATAGAAGGCGTGGAGCTCTGCAGGCTGGAGGAATGGATTTCTGGGTCTCTTTTCTTCCTCAGCTCTCATGCTGTCTCTCGGAGACAGGTCGCTGTTGGCAGCTGTGGGGTGAAGGAGGAAGCGGCAGCTCAGATCTGATTTACGCGTCTGGGGCAGATCAAGTATCATTTTTTTTTCCCCAGCCTTGTCGCGTTCTGCGTCCGCCGAGGCTGGAAATGCCAGAATTATATCCATGTGGGAGCAAAACAGCATCTGCTCTTGTGTCTGACTCCCAAACTGCGCTGAGGTGTTTCTCCACTGCCCTAATTATGGTGGGGCTGGCATTTCACGCAGGCAAAAAGACATTTTTAAGACATATTTACACGTTATTCTAAGTTGGCGGTAATCTGACTTTATCTCAAGATGATGGAAGACTCTCCCCGTGTCCCACAATCCTGATCTTCCCCAAAGGTTCCTGCAGAATTATGTATATTTTGGGGTGACTAAACAGTTGTATTTTGCTATTTTTATTTGTAACAAATCCCTTTGGTAACAGAAGGTGTCGGGAGAAGTTCTGCAGAGTCCTGCAGAGCTGCTCTTGCCCGTCCATAGACAGGCTGCAAAGAGAGAGAAGCCAGGACCACCCTGAGCAGAACAAAAAGCAGCCAAAAAGCCCTGATTTTATTGTGGCAAGAGTTTGAGGAGATCAAAGCCTGAGATCTCTAATAAAAACGTAGAACGTTGGAAGAAAGCTTTTCTTCCATTTCGGTGCAGATGTGGGGAATTAATAAAGGCTGGAAGAGTCTCCCTGGTGTGGATCCGTGCACTGGCTGACACCCAGGGTGAGCCTGCACGGGGATTTCCTCTGGCAATTCCCCTGGTCAGATAGAAGCAGCATCCAGCTGGTTCTCCATGACACTCCCAAAGTGTCCACGATGTGGGATGCGAGGCTGGAGAGGAACCTCATGAAGTTCAACGAGGGCAAGTGCAGGGTCCTGCCCCTGGGGAGCATTGACACCATCTGCAGGTTAGGGATTGACCTAACCTCCCTTGAAGAGAGGGAGCTGGTGGACAAGTAGTTGCCCACAACCCAGCAACGTGCCCTTGTGGCCAAGGAGGCCAATGGTCTCCTGAGGGGCTCAAAAGAGTGTGGCTGCAGGTGGAGGGAGGTCATCTTCTCCCTCTTCTCTGCACTGGGGAGCCACATCTGGAGCACTGGGTCCAGTTCTCCAGTGAAGAAGGACAGGGAACTGGTGGAGAGGGGATAGCAGAGACTATGAAGATGATGAGGGACTGGAGCATCTCTCTGCTGAGGAAATTCCATCCGGGCATGAGGAGGAACTTCTTTGCTGTGAGGGTGGCAGAGCCCTGGCAGAGGCCGCCCAGAGAGGTGGTGGAGTCTCCTCCATCTCTGGAGACATTCAAACCCCACCTGGACATGGTCCTGTCCAACCTGCTCTGGTGATCTCCAGAGGTCCCTTCCCACCCCGGCCAGTCCATGAAGCAGTTTGTCACTTGTTGGGGGGACGTTTATCCAGGCACCGGGACCTGAACGCGTCTCGCCCCTCTCTCCCCGCAGCGAGCCCCGCATAGTGAGCCGGATATTTCAGTGCTGTGCCTGGAACGGAGGCGTCTTCTGGGTGAGTGGGTGCTTTTGGGTGGTTCTTCTGGTGAAATCCCCGTGGAAGCCCATGGGGGGTCGGCCGGCGCTCCCTGTCCCCCCATGCTGCATTTTAAGGAGATGGGACCAGTTGGGACACCTCCACACCTCCCCAGCTGCTTCTCCAGGTCTTTGAGACCACAAATATCCCCCCCCTCTTGCTCCGCTGCAGCCGGGGATGTTCCTTCCCCGAACCAAATATCGATATTTTAAAGCCATTTCCCCATCTCTGAGGTTTCCTCCTTAACCGCAGCCCAATTAATCACCCCTCCTCGTTTCTTTCTCCCCTCCAGCTTAGTCTCTTCTTGTTCTACCGCGTATTTATCCCCGTCCTGCAGTCGGTGACGGCACAGATCATCGGTAAGTCCCCGTCCCGGTGGTGGGGTGGAAGGAGGAGGTTCCCCACCCCGGTTCCTCATGCGTTCCTCCCCATCCCCTCTCCCCAAGGCGACCCTTCCTTGCACGGTGACGTCTGGGCTTGGCTGGAGTTCATCCTCACCTCCATCTTCAGCGCCCTCTGGGTCCTGCCCCTCTTCGTCCTCAGTAAGGTGGTCAACGCCATCTGGTTCCAGGTGGGTGACAGGGACACGGACCAGGGGGGATCCCCTCCTTGGGGTGGCACAGCAGGGTGGGGGCTTTTCGGCGGCGGATGAAATCCCACCTAAAAACGCAGGCTCTGGGTGAGCAAAACCAGCTCATCCCACCTCTTTGGGACTTCATTTCCCTGGAGCGCCCGTTTTGCTTTTCAATTTCATTTCCCTCGAGCCATTTTTTCTTTATTTTGGGGTTTTTTGGGTTTTTTCCCCCTGGCAGGACATCGCGGATCTGGCGTTCGAGGTGTCGGGCAGGAAACCTCACCCCTTCCCCAGCGTCAGCAAGATCATCGCTGACATGTTATTCAACCTCCTGCTGCAGGCCCTTTTCCTCATCCAGGTGGGACGAACAAACTCCCCTCCCTCCGGGGCCGCGTTTTCCCCCAAATCCAGAGAATCCACAACTAATCGTTTTCTTTAATTTCTATTTCATTAAAATCCCAGGGGATGATCGTGAGCCTCTTCCCCATTGACCTGGTGGGCCAGCTGGTCAGCCTCCTCCACATGTCCCTGCTCTACTCCCTCTACTGCTTCGAGTACCGCTGGTTTAACAAAGGTGAGGCCTTTTTTGAGGGGAATTCCTCCGGATTTGGGATCCGAGGCTCAATTTTCTTTTGATTTTAACTGGAATGAAGTTTTTTGGGTTTTTTTTTTTGTGATCTCCAGGCATCGAGATGCACCAACGGTTGTCCAACATCGAGAGGAACTGGCCCTACTACTTCGGCTTCGGCTTGCCGCTGGCTTTCCTCACGGCGATGCAGTCCTCTTACATCATCAGGTGAGGCTGTTTCCTCCCTTTTTATTATTTTTTTATTGTTTTTTTTTTTTAAATAAATAATATTATTATTATTATTATTATTTTTCCCCTCTTCCAGCGGTTGCCTCTTCTCCATCCTTTTCCCTCTCTTCATCATCAGCGCCAACGAAGCCAGGACCCCCAGCAAAACCTAGTGAGTTCCCTGCCTCCGCCGGGAGGTACCCTAAACCCGCAGAAATCACCCCAAAAATTTAAATAAATAATATTATTATTATTATTATTATTTTTCCCCTCTTCCAGCGGTTGCCTCTTCTCCATCCTTTTCCCTCTCTTCATCATCAGCGCCAACGAAGCCAGGACCCCCAGCAAAACCTAGTGAGTTCCCTGCCTCCGCCGGGAGGTACCCTAAACCCGCAGAAATCACCCCAAAAATCACCCGCCGCCTCCCGAAAATTCCCAACTCCGGGAGCTGACGGGCCCTCTCTTCCCTTAC